GCATTATACTTTCAACTGTTATTGATTGCTGTGTTATAAGACGTATGATCTTACAAACCCGAAAGACCCTTCGTACCCCAGTTTTGAAGGGGATGAATCCTACAACATAGCACCCCTATGTTAGTTCTGTAATTATTACTGAAAAAGTCAAATGGAGGCTGCGACGTAAAATGGATCCAACCAGTAAAAGAGTTGATTCCAGGCGTTTTCACGTCAACTGGTGATTTTCACCCTTCCCTTTTTTGTTTCTTAAGTTTGCCCTTTTCTCTTATTTTCCTCCCCCCCCCATTTTTTTGGGGGGGAGGGGGGCAGTACCCTCAATCCCTCCACTTGTGCCGCCCATGGGGATGTTTTAGGTGTTCATGTCAATTCAATTCGTTGTGGGGAACTGACTTCACAAAAGAAAATTGAGCCCAAGTTGAAAGCGGGAACAAAGCCGAGATTCGGGGAAATAGCCTATTAGGAAAGTTGTTGTTCCCAACGACTCTAGGAATGTCGTTTGGACAGCTCTCAGCTGACAATAGATTACATTTTTTTGTACATGTATCGGAGATCATGCGGACAAGCTTTACACGTAGCTGGAAATGGCATTTGAAGCGAGATATGTGGGACGGAGAGACCCCCCCGCCTTTGTGTTGGTCATTGTTTGATTGGAATCTCAGGAATTCTTTACAGACTTCTAGGGGGATGTGTTAGGTAACAATAGTCTAGAGTGTGTACGGGGATTGAACAGGTGGGGGGGGTACCTCTCCGTCCCATATCTTGCCTGGTATAAGTAATGGCGGATGAACACTCCTGGAATTAACAAGTGTAGCTGCAAATCCGTACTTACGGTTACTCGTTGACGAAAGAGAAACCTTGGATTGCTAGCTCGTTGGTCCAATAATGCAGACAACTTTAGAGGAGCTAAAATGTCGAAGAAGCTGTTTGTCATCTGGATTTTGAATAATTCATCGCCCCTTGAAAACAACAAGCTTATCAGTTTGTTGTGCAGTTGTTTGAACGTGTGAAAATGCCAAGTCGGGGTGCCCGACTCGGAGACTGCTTTAGTAAGGCGTCGTTTGCAGCAAAGAAAGTCGAGGATGCGGGTACCACTCACCGAATGCCAGTCCTTTTGAAGAAAGCAACTATTTTGAGGTAAGAACTTCCGCAAAAACAAGCGCTTTTTCAAAGGAGTTTTTTGTTCAAAGTGTACCTCTACTGACGTGTAGCTGCATGCAAATACCACAGACACATAAGTCAGTTCAAGTTTCAAAGAACAGTTCACGAACGTGAGCAGAGGGCACACTCGCTGGGCACTGCCGGGTGAACCCCATTAAAAAGTTGAAATGTATTTGTGACTTGTGTACAGCCGCAATTCATTGGCTGTCGGTGTTCCCC